GTGTGTGTGTGTGTGTGTGTGTGTGTGTGTGTGTGTGTGTGTGTGTGCGCGTGTGTGTGTGCGCGGGCGCGTGCGTGCGTGAGCGTGTGTGCGCGCGCTAGCGTGCATGCGTGTGTAGAAATAGAACTAAATGAAACAAATTACGTTTATATGACATTTCATAACTCTCCTATTTAAGCATAAAAAAATTACGACTTTAACAACATTTTTGTTTCACTGTTGTATTATAATGATTAGCAACTTTCTTCAAAAGTTGTCATTTTGCAGATGAAACATTATTACAATACAAATTATGTAAATAAACCCTATATTTGGTAGTGGAACATATTCATAACACTTACAATTTTCATATTTTTTCCATTCCGTAATAATTCTGTTACAATTATTTAGATACTTGACTAGTTACAAAAGCCTCACCTTTTGCGCCCTGCATCCACTGATGTTGCTTGCGAGGCTCTCGGCATCATAGTGCCGGACGAACCCATAAGGGCCCGGTTGACCCCTGGACACGCATTGCCCCATATGCTCACACACTCACTCACACATCCACTATCTGTCTATTATCACATGTCCCAATAAATTACAATCCTTCTCCCTGTTACTACGGTTCACTGTTCACAGTTTCTCGTAAAGCTGAAAGGAATGTGATGATTTAAGTCGAATTGCCGGCTTCTATAAATTCTGCCCGTGCTTTGCAATGCCATATGCCATAAAATATGGAATGGAATTTAGCAATAATATACTTCTTTAAAGGGTATTTTTAAAGTACATTGAATGAATAAAAGTAAAACAAAAAAACAATCTAAAGATCAGTTTTCTAAACTAGTACTGTACAAACTTCCAGTTCCATTTTAATACTTCGAACTTACATCAGGTTATGTTATGCTTCGATAAGAGTTTAATCGCCACATAAGAAAATCAATTACAAATTGCTTTAATTGTTCGAGAAGCAGATAAACTCAAAATTAACATTACGGATTTATAAAGAATACATTAAAACCAAAAAATCAATGGCAAAGCAAACATTAGATATGATTTAGTTTACCTCTAACAAATAAGGTTATACACATGGTGTTATTTATCAACATTGTCTTTATGATCGAACATTTGCCGGTCAATCGCACAACTACGATGCGCGTGGTGCGCTCTATGCCCGATACCCGACTGCGTGGGCCTGCGCGCGCGCATTTCATCGCAACGCAAGCGCAGCGCAAGGTACACAGTCCTCAGCTGTTGACGAGTCATTCATGATTACTCAAGGACAACGACCACGAAAGATGCATGGGAAAAGTATGGGAGAGCATCGTCGAAGTTAGTTGTGAGATAATTAGAACGACACAGCTTTACACTTTGTGAAGGTGAAGAAGTCCTTTGTTCGATTCTCGATAAGGCTAACTTAAAAAGCTAATTGTTCCAGATGTTCTCGTTCCAAACGGGCTGGGTTCATTTTATTGCTCTAGTACTCGTAATTCAGGGAAAGGCAATTAGTATTGTAGTCTGGTACAATAAAAGGCAAAGGAAAGGTGAAATAACCATATCATATAATAATAAAATGAGGAAGGCTTTGATATAAACATAAAAATTAAACATGAAAGAAAACAATGTTCTATGTACAGAAATAGCAAATTTCTACTGTCAGCCTATCTATTAGTCTATTAAGCCAAATCATAACAAAATAATACATTAAAGGCGACTCTGGTTAACTTTTGTTTATTAACATCATGTCATTTTATGTTTAGTTTTTTAATCCAGTATGCGCTTGGATTCCGGTAATACTAAGCACATGAGCGCCTAACGATGCATCACCAAACACGACGATCAAGGACATCCAGTTAATCGTTAAAAAAATAAAAAAGTGTATTCAATTTTAAAGTTCCTGTCTTCGCTGAGGTCAAACTTTGAGGTCACATTTCTCTTGACAGTAGAGTGATTATGACGTAGTTAGGCAGACCGGTGGTATAATATTATCCAAGGAGCTTTTGAGGAATTTCATAATATATACACATTGACTTACAATAAGTCAATGTATATACAGTATTAAAAATTTTCGTATCTCCGTGCGTCTCGTTGGCCTTACTTACCTACTGCTTAGTTGTAATTTTTCTTCAACAGTTTAATTTTCTTAAAACATTTTAGCGGGATATTGTTGTACCTTTTTGAAAAACTTCAAAATATTTAGATAATTTTATTGTTTTAAACTTTCAAAAAGTTTCGAATTACGCGCCATTATTTATAGCATCGCTTGCTACGTTTCGTTCCAGAGTAGATCGAGGTCAAGGAAGTCAACACAATTTTAAAAACAAAACAAATAATATAATATTTCTAGATAAAATCGCTGTGAATTTTCAATTTATTGTTTCAGTATAGATGAATACCATCTTGGCAACAAGCCCGCAAATAAATAGTTAACCAATTTCAATGTCAAATGTTACTGTCAAAAGTTTGCAAAGAGCTATTTAAAATAAATTTTCGGCGTATGTATATTGTATATTTCACCAGAGGATTTGTATTATTGTGATTTAGAACATATTTGAGGCTTGTATAAAATATTGGAATGATAACTAGATCGGGATTGAGAGCCTTCACGTCTGTGGTTAACAGAGTGATACACAATGTTGCTAAGCAACAGTTTGTAGTAACTTGTCCGAGTGGCGGTGAGTAAATTGCGCTTTTATTCTGCAAATAACGTATTTTCATTATAAACATTAGTCTATTTGTTTGTACGGATTACCGTAATTAGTGTTTTATTGTAGTTAGATTGCCTGAATTACAGTGTTATCGTATTAATCTACTTTTCTATGTTCTCCATTTTTGTACTTTAATAAAGGTACTACAAAATAAAACTATGTAATTCACAACCTAACTTGTCAAATCTTAAATATGACTCTCTCAAATTTTTTTTATAATATCAAATGACGGGACCTTAGAGCATATAGGACTGGAGGCGTCATCGATAGGCAATCCCCTCTGTCAAGGTATAAGCACAATATAACTATGGCACAATAAACACTACTTTCAAATCAAGGTTTCTTCATTTCCATTATTGAATTCACCGCATCAAGTACTTCATGAAACATGTCATCTTGCGCTATACAAACTTGAAATCTCTACTGCATCCAGTCTAGCCAAGGGTGGAATTACATTCCATATATAAGCCTATTTTTTCCATTAAATGCAAATTTTCTATTTTATGGCATTTTTTTCTTAATGATCCGCTAACGAAGTTTATTCAAATTGATTTCTCCATCATATTGTATGTTTTAATAATAATGTAATAAATTATAAATAATGAAAATAAATTGTAATTGTTTAACCAAATAGCTAACTGTCCTTATCCTACACAAGACATGCGCAAAAGACAGAAAGGGACCCATTACGTCAATTTCAATTTTCAAACCACAAATGATTGAAATATTTAGATTTAGAACAAAGAAACCATAGAGTTGATTTAATGTTAATCTTATTTTTAAAATGACATTTTCTTAAATGTTAATAATAAATAACTAACAAAATATTGTTGTATATGTTTTACTGTTCTACAGAGTTATCAATCAGAAGTCCGAAAATACATTTGCCCGAAGTAATGTTTGCTTGAATTTTTGTAATTCCAAATGTACTTTTTTGGTTATTTTAGGAATATTACAAAACAAACTTAATCTTTTCTTTGTAATAAGCAACCAAAATCCCCTGAAAGCATAACAGTTTTGTTATAAATTGGTTTTTGAGATTACGAAACTTTGAGTTTACTTTTAGTTGGAATATAGAAATTCGAATCATCGATACATTTCTTACAGCACATCATAACTACCAACAGAGAGACAGCTATTTTCACATTTACAATATTTGTATACTTATATCTGTACAACTCTTATTACTTGAAGTGAATTCATATAAAATTCAACATAATATTATAAAATTAATTCATATTATTGTTGTGTTCAAGTAGTTTTCACTAGAAGCTAAATATGGTGCATTTTGTTATATCCAGTAGAAGTTGAATATGGATAATTTTTGGGCCTTTAAATTGTGGTAAATAAAAATTAAGCAATACTGCAATGACTTTACAGTTTAAATTAAATGTTTTTTTTTTAATAGTTCTATACATGTCACTACGTTTGTAGAGGCTAACTCCGGCCATGCTTGTTATTGGCTCCGACGCTGACTGCGATAAGCCATAAACTGAAAAAGAAAACTCTGGACATTTTTTCGCGGTTTTTGGAATTAGACTTCTGTCTCTAGTATATTCATGAGAATTGATTTATTTTTATAGGCCTATTCTGTATACGGACATGACATCAATGTGTGTTTTATCTGTGTATTTGTAAAAATAAGCTAGTGTTGTAGACTTTTGTTTGTGTGAGACCGTAGTGACACAATTCAATTTTGCATTTGAGTGCACCTGTTTGCTTTTAGTACTACCCCACCGCCCCTCAAAAAGTGGCAGAAAGTTTTGTTCGAGAAATAATGCTAATAGCGCCTCCCGTCCTATATGATCTAAGGAGGAGACGAACAAGTCATACGCCTGATGGTAAACTACACGCCTGTCCATAACAGTTGCAGTGCCACTCAGAGCTTTAAATTGCAAAGATCTGAGGGGCACTACCGCTGCGCCCGTCACCCTGAGACTAAGTTGACAAGTCCCATGTGCCTGTAATTTTACCAGCACCCTTACCCTTCAAAACTGGAACACAGTAATGCTGATATTACTGCTTAGCGGCAGAAATAGGTAAAGTGGCAGTACTACCCTGGTTGAACTCTTTCACAAGAAACTCTACTGCTACAAAAATCTCTAATTAACACAAATGATGGATTTCTAAAGTTTCGTTTAAAGTATATAAGTAAAAAAATCTGACAACATGGAATGGTGTAATGGGGTCACCACTCCGTCTGCAATTCGACATTAGGGTGTCTATTTTGCGTTTATATCTGACATCATCATTTAAATCAATGCATCAACTGACTAAAAACAAAAGTCAAATTCATTTCAGTCAAACCTAGGAACCACTTTAGAATACCTAACACATTGCAACAAAAGTAAAGAGATGCAGAATAAATTATATTTTAAAATATTTAAGCATGTCCCTGCCTTGAAATTTTAGTGTTTCACGCCTTTTTTACAATTACTTTCAACTAAAAAGATCAGTTTGCTAGCTTGTGTAACATATTCTAAATATAAGCCTCAACTTAAAGTTTAATTGTGTCTTTTTCAATTTTATCATTTTCTTTACATATTCCGCCATTATAAACAACACGGAATAGCAAATTTTGTTTGTGGGTAATATAAATATTAATCTGTTACATGTCCTAGAGACACAGTGTCCGTAGCAATTTTAACTTAAAAAATTTAAACATTTTTATAATTTTCTTATAATCCCATCTCTTGGATGCATGACGGATTAAAGAAAAGCAGCATTTATTTTATGTATGTGCTTAAGTCTGCCGATTCATAACAAGTTACTTGTATTTACCACGAGATGAGACATTCCAGAGCGACCATGCTTCAAAATAAATGACGTGTAAAATAAAGTGATACATAGACACTCTCAACATAGCCCCGTACTAGGGAAACCCTGTATCGCGGGTGCCATGGATACACATACAGATAACCACTAATACACCTAAACTCACGACAGAAATAAATGTACGCCAGACAAATATTTCTCTCGGCCTGGGAAGCGAACCTGAGACCTCTTCGTGGCAATCCGGCCACGGTTCCGGTAACCGTTTGGCCACAGGGGCAGTTTACAGATGTATAGACAATGGTAAAATTATTCAATAGTTAATACTTAATCCACCTTATATGTAAAGCAACAAGCATATGACGAAATCACCCACCTTATATGTAAAGCAACAAGCACATGGCGAAATTTGTAATGTCTGCTAACTAGTTCTGTTGTTCAGTTGGGAAAGCGATATCCTCTGTATGACGACGTCACTGGTACACGTCCAGCCCGATTGAAGGAATTTTTCTTCATGTTTGTTCAATCTTTGTTGCGATAACAAATAACTAGTGGTTTCACAAGAAAATTATGAATATCATGGTAGTAAGAAGTAAGAACATCATTATATTCAGTAAAATAAATATTATAATATGTATAAATATTACATTTTTTTTCATCAAAATGATGACATTTCATGGATTATGCTTTGACATGCATTCAAAAATTAAATTGGCAGCTTTTTCTGTGTAAAGGTAAGAGTAATTATGAAACGTGAAGTTTGTCTGAGTGACCTGAAGTGGCACTTTTTTGTTTTGTATCATCACAACTTTGAAAGCACATACTAAAGCTACAGGACAGTCCACTAGTAACTGTGTGCTGTATAGATAGTGTATACAATTAAAATTATATTTGGACCTTTTGTAGGTACAACATCAACAGTTGTAACGAGAAGACTGTAATTGAATTAAGGCGAGTTACCAGTGGGGAAAAACTGTTTTGCTAGATCATGTGGCTAAAGCATTTCCTATCAAATAATGGTCTTATAAAAATATATAATACAACGGATATTGTCTAAAGAATGTGCTAATTGATAAGAAGAAAATGATAAGATGTATTTGACCCGATCATATAAAATCCTGAAAACAGGCTAAAATAAAAGTCTAAAACAAATTATTTAAGAATGAAATATTTCACTTTGCACATAATTTTTATATGGAGATATTTCTGTACAACACTGCAGAGAACCTTTTTGTTTTCAACTGAAGCCCTATAGTTATTAAATTCACTTATATCTCAAAAGCTGCCCCATCAGTCGTCATCGGGCGCTTGTCAACATCAGATCTGTGTCATATTTACTCCACCCGTTGCCCTGCCGCCTTATTTTATTCATATTAATTTTAAGTCGTCGTCGGCACCCCACACCTCACCTCCTAAAATCTAGGCTCGCATTAAAATACCTCCCCTTAATAAGTCCAAAATTAAACAGTCTCTTGGTTTGCAACATGACAAGATAGATAGAATGAATTTCTGATGTAGTATAACAAAATCCCACCAATGTTTGGTAGATTGGCATATTGTTGTTAATTTTCTATGTAAATGTTACTTCTACATTTGATTTGGTAAGACATCCCCTCACAAAATTCAACCAAAAAATGCCAAGACAGCTTTTGTATAAGCAATTCACCGGTGCAGGAGGAGTCACCTACATAGGTATACATTTTATTCTTAACTTTAAAATTTACTTTGCAGAAGATGCAGTACTTCGTTATAGCAAGGACGACTCTACAAATATAACATTTTTACACACAAATGTACCAGAGACGTGTCAAGGACAAGGTGTCGGGAAAAAATTAGCTGAGGTATAAATATTTTTAAATACATTTACTCCTTAACAATTACCAAGCCAGTTAAAAAAAATATCACTATAATAATATAATAGAGTCTTAATATGGTATTGTGGTTAGAACAGGCACATGTTAAATCTTGAGCAGAAAGAAAATAGAGAATGGTTCACCACCACATGTTCTACCACGATGCGGATGAAACTCCTCTGCATGTCCTCACCCAATGCTGCCCTTATTAACGGAAACGGCACAGGCCACAACCAGAGGATTTAAAACTGTCAAAACTAGAAAAGTCCTTCAGATACTTAATTATTGTTTTAAACGCACATACTCACAGCCCGCACCAGGAAAACCCGTATCGCCGATGCAATGGATACACACAGAAACCACCGAAACTACGAGAAAAATAAATGTAGGCCATAGAAATATTTCTCCCGGTCGGTGAATGGAACCCGGGACCTCTGCGTTGCAGAGCAGCCATTCGGCCACAGAGGCAGCAAAAAATGTTTAACGCTGTTGGCTCCAAACTGTAATTAGTGGTATTCACAATAGATCATTAGCGGTCCTGAATGAAGCCATCGTAATAATAATAATGACAAAAATATAAACTAAATTAAGAGCAGTAGCTACTCTATTACTTCCAAAGCCGGATTGAGTACGACCAGTTTGCACCAAGTGCAGAGGGCAGCTAATGGAAATCAAACGCCTACTAAAACGCGTAAATTACCGAGATATATTTTGATGACTTCGGTGGCCTAAAGGTTTACATTGTGGGCGCTGGATGCGGAGGTTCGATTCCTGGTGGGACCAATTTGGGACATGGACTTTCCAAATTGGTTCTTGTCTGGGTGTTCTGTGAAGTGCTCCAAAATTACGTTGCTATGGTACTCATAGTACCGGGGATTCCTTAGTTTGAGACCAGACAATAGGTGCGGTTATGCACATATTATTATTATGTTAAGAAAATATTGGTACTGTCCCTTTTTCTATTTATAACATTCAAATTTGTCATGTTTTATATTGCAGGCTGCGTTCAGATATGCCTATGAACAACATTTAACCGTAGTTGTCAAGTGTCACTATTTGGCAAATTTTTATAAGAAAAATCATGAAAAATTTCACAACTTGCAAGTGTTAATATCGTTGGATTAACCAAGAAAATATATTTAATTCGCTCTTGTCTGAATATTATCTGCATTTAAAATGGACTTAGCTTGGCATAGATGTAATATACATTATTATTTAAGGGAAAAGTATTATGGGAAAGCGGAAAAAATTTCAAAAATTGCATCCGCTAAGCTATCAGACACTTCAGAGTTTTTATTTTACCATGGATTGGCTAGCATACTTCAGGGTCAAGTACAGAAAGGGATCATAGAACTCACTCCTTTGCAATCAGATAAGGATCTACAATTGGCTTCAGTTATTGCTTTGATATATGCCCAAAAACTTGCCAACAACACAGAGAGAGAAACTTTGTATAACTTGGAGACTAAATTAAAAGAAGAAAAGCGTCAAGCGAGTAGTGTGTCCTTTTACTATGCAGGCTTATTTTTGTCTTTGGCAGAAAAGTATGAAAAGGCATCAGAATACATAAATAAATCACTAAGAAAAGATGCAAACAATTTGGAAGCTATAATTTTAAAAGGATGGAATGACATGTATATGAATTTGGGAGAAATGCAAATGTCCATACTGGACTGCTTAGAACTTGCTCTCAGTAAGAGTGAACGGAATGCGGCAGCGTTATTAGGATTGGCTAAGTTCAAGTTTTTCGCCAAGGACTACGACGCATCTAATCTAACATTAGACAGATTGATTGTCAGTAGTCCGGGACAAGTTGTTCCTCTTATCGAGAAATTGAAAAATGAATTTGCAATGCAGAAATGGGAAGCGGTTTTGGACACCGTCGAGAGAATATTTTCGCTTGAACCTGATAACATCGAAGCTTTAAAAGTTAAGATTTTTATGGCGTTATGCAAAAACTCTGATTACATTGAAGCAGCTGACCAATTAAACCAGTTTTATACCATACTGGAAAATGAAGAGAGTCATAATGGTTATCAGTTTTACATTACAACACAAATATTTTCTAAAGTGTGTGGTAGAGACAGCGCAGTCCTGTCACAGGTTTATAGATTTGCACAATATGCTTCTGAATTATATTCAAATAATGTGGATTATCTGAGTGAGGTGGGCTATCAATGTGTTCTTCAAGGAAAATATAAGGACGCTCTAAATTTTTTCAAGGCAGCCAGTAAAATAGATAGCAATTCAATTACTGCGTTGTGTGGGCTAACAATATGCCAGATGAATGAGAATGGACCCACTGATCAAGTGGCTCAACAAGTGGAGCTGCTATTGGAAATGCAAGGCACAAACAAGTTGCCCATACTGAATCTTTTGTCTGCACAATTGAATGTAAAGAATCCTGGTAATGCCATGTCTTATCTTAACAATGCATTTGAAACTAAAGTGTCTTTAGCCATGCGAAATCCCTTCAGTTTGGCTTATGTAAAAGATTTGGATCCAGATTTCTTGCTCGAGGTTTACAAAGAATATCGAAAGCATTTACCTAAGAAGCCATTTGTTATAGTTGGTTATTTATTATATTCTCAAGAAGGAAATGTGTCTTCGGTGAAGATGTGTTTTCATATCCTCGAAACAGTTTGTAAGGCATGTCCGGGGCTGATATCCGCTTTGTATGAACAAGCTAAGTTGAAATTCTTGTTTGGTTACGCAACTGAAGCTCATAAGTTAGCTCAGCAGGTTGGGGAGCTTGATAATACCCATGCTGGTAGTCAAGTTTTGTTGGCTCAGATTTATATACAGCGGCAGGAATTCACAAAGGCTGCACAAAGCCTTGAAATGTGTCTGAGTTACAACTTCAAAGTAAGAGACAGTGCCATGTATCATTTCTTAAATGGCGTCATATTGAAAAGTGCTAAGAAATTGCAAGATGCGCTGTCCAGTTTCACGACCAGCCTACAAATAGCGACAAGCAAAAGTGTGACGACTCATGTGAGCAGATCATTTGAGTCTAATTTGAATATAATAGACAAAGCTACTTTGCATTTGCAAATTATTGAAATCCAAAATGAGTTGGATCACTTTGCTGAAGCTGGGAAATCCATGCAGGTAAGATCCTCAAATTGTAGTACCATAACTCAAACACTCAACGTTTGGAGACTCTTATGTGTGTATGTGTTGTGTGTGTGGGGTGTATACTAAGAGATTTTGCCAAATGATTGATAACTACTCAAATTTTTTTTGACAAATTGTAAACATAACAAATGTACGTCATTGTCAAAATATCACAGAACGAAAGTAACTATTATTTCAGGAATTAAAGATAAAAAATAACAAAACTAAAAGCAATTCTCAGTAAAATGACTTTGTTAGAACTGTACAGAGGCCTAAAACTCTGCCTAGAGACAAATAGATAGTGTTTTATATATATATGAATGTATCAGTCATTTGTGACTGAGGCCTTAGAAGTGCCCAAAATATTGGTTAGTTTGAATACACATATATACATGATGAAGATTTAGAAAACAATTGCTACATTTTCATTGTGTAGCAATCGCAAAAACTAAGAACTCGCCATATAAATGATAAATTACAATTTCATTCTGAAGATTACATACTTATGACTGACAAGTTAATTCAGAATATTATTATGTATAGTTTTTATTTTGTAAATTTATTAATTTTAGGAAGCAATACAGGAGCTTTCTTACACATCAGAAGAGAGCCGTTTGCACATAGCTAGAGCCGAGTTAGCTCTAAAGAAAGGAGACATTGATAAGGCTATTGATATTTTGAACGAGATTAAAGCCGGCCAGCCATATTATTTTCAAGCTCACAGCAAAATGGCACACATTTATTTGAAAGAGAAAAACGATCGAGGGATGTTTACTAATTGTTTTAAAGAGATTGTTAGTAATCATCCCATGGCTGACGCGCATTCAATGATGGGAGATGCTTTCATGTCTATACATGGTAAGTTTATTTTCTTACCTTTGATGGTACAATATACAGGGTTATTGGGTAATAACGATGTGCAGGAAGGGGTTGGGGGTCGTCGCGGAGGACGCTTGCACGTTTGAACTTATTGAAAAGTGTCAGATAGTACAACACAACCTTGAAAGGTTATTTTTGGTAAATTTATTATGTTTTAATTATTAATACAAAGATTCAGAAGGCCGGATTCGAAACGACGTCTTTTAGCTTACCGTGACAGACGCTATACCAACTAAGCCACGGAGCGAACCAGCGGACCTCACGAATTTTTCTATGTGCTTGCGTCGTGTCTTTGTATTTGGTTTTTTCAACGACTTTTTAGTCGTAGCGCCATCTATGACAAATCTATGAAAGATTTATCACCCAGTTAGTACCTTTACAGTTACCATCCCTGGGGAGAGATGTCGCTATTCGCTGTACTTTAATTTTTTATTGAATTGATATTCAATTATTTTTTGTGAAATTACTCCACTAGTTTGTTATAATTATTAATACAAAGATCGAGCACTCAGAAAAAATTATTATGTTTTGTTATGATTATGAACACAAAGATTGAACACACAGAAAAATTTTTTTCTTCGACCCGGTGGGACTTGAACCCCCGTCCGTGCTGCACCGTAGCATTGCTCTAACCGTCTGAGCCATAGGTACAGTTACCGAGTCGTCGTATATATAATTTCAATGAAAATAAAATGCTATGGTGACTTGATCAGATGATAGAAATAGCAGACATTTGAAATGAACTCCTCAACAGTGTACAGTGACGAGGACTTCCATATGGGTTTCAGTCGTCGTTGAGGTGAGGTGGTAAATTTCAGCCACGATATGGCGAGATTCCTGGTTCAAGTCCAGCCAGACCGAAGGGATTTTTATTTGTATTCAATCTTTGAATATGAAAATGAAAAATAATTGAATGTCATCTTAGTAAAACATCGTAATGTATTACAAAAAAGTTTTAATCATTATATACATTTTTTAGAACCAATCGAAGCGGCAGAGTCGTACGAAACAGCGCTAAAAGGGAACCCGAAAGACATCCAGCTGATCAAGAAATATGGCATTGCGTTAATTAAAATGCACGAATATGACAAAGCTTGTTTGCACTATGAGAACTCTATCAAATTGTTGAACGATCATGATTTGAAGTTCGAATATCTTGAACTGCTTATAAAAGTAAGTTTTTTTACAATATTTATTTTTAATTGAATATCATGATATTTATTTATTTATTTCTTTGCATTAATAGACACATATACATTTAAAACGTTACATGCACTTAGTACGGGCATAACAGATGATAATTCTTAAGAGCTGACATTTAAATGAATAATATAACTTGTTATAAGTAATTACACAAGTGAAATATATTGAATAGAAATTAATGAAAGAGAGTTAGTTATCTATAAAATATTCTGTCATTTTTATAAATGATCAGCCATTCTTTGTCAAGGACCGTTGCGAAATAGTATTGTTTGCTGACGACACATCATTGATTCTTAAAACAGGCAGACATGACGTTAACTGCCTGTGCTCGTGGCCGAACGGTTACCATGCCGGACTGCCAAGCAGAGGTCCCAGGTTCGATTCCCGGGCCGGGAGAAATAATGTATGGCCTACAGTTATTTCTCTCGTGAGTTTGGGTGTAATTTGTGATTGTCTATGTGTGTGTCCATGGCACCCGCGACACAGGGTTTCCCTAGTGCGGGGCTATGTTGGGTGTGTGCGTTATTATTATTATTATTAACTATGACCATATTAATGATACCCTCTCTAAGGTAGTTTATTGGTCTAATGCAATCAATTTATTGCTTAATGCCAAGAAAGCAAATGTGTTAAATTTGAATTACCTAACATGAAATCGACTAGTCCAAGCATAGAAATAAGCGGAGAAAAGTTATACCTTGTTAATATAGCAGCCTTCTTGGGAGTGACCTTAGATAGTAAATTTCAATGGTTTCCACATATATCTTCCATGGCCAGCAGATTAAGCTCCGCTGCATACGCAGTCCGCAGAATACGTGAGCTTACCGATGTTAGTACTGCTAGACTAGTTTACTTTAGTTACTTCCATAGTAAAATATCCAATGGAGATACCCATAATATTAACCTTAGAGCTAAGTCCATACTCATGGTATCACGATTTCGTTTAACCGAGGTAAACAACTCTTTTATGGGGAACTGAAGACATTAAGATTATTATTTCCTAAGTTTAAAGACTACATTAAAAATATTTTGATTGAAAAGTCATGTTACAAAATTGAATACTACGCGTTAGATAAAGATGTATGGAAAGACGACATGGCTCTAGATTCCACACAAATTTGATTCAAAGTGTATTCCATAGCGTTTAAGTTTAATTGAAAAGAGCAATCCCTAGAGTTTCTTACTCGTTCTTCTTAGGGAAGTCAGCGTAGTGAACGAGCAGTAGCTTAAAAGTAGCTTCAATGTGACGTTTTCAAGTGTAAATTTATTTTATCTATGGAATAAGTGGTTCTTTGACTTTCACTTTTACTTTGTCTTCATTAACTGAGTAATAGCATTTTTGATTTAGTAATAATTAGAGTTTATTACAAAAAAATTGTGTTTTTTTTCTATTGTTTTATTGTGTCAGGTCATTTGTTGTAAATTTTTAGTGCTCTGTAGTGTGGGCTATACTATGATTATATTTAATTGTACATGATTGTGTTTTTACTTTTTTTTTGCACACTCGACATAGCCCCGCACTAGGAAAACCCTGTGTCGCGGGTGCCATGGACAACACACAAATTACACCAAAACTCGCGAGAGAAATAAAATAAAATAAAGCAATGCTCTAATAATAATGATAATAACATGTTTACTAATGTTACAGTATTAATAGTTACGTCCTAGAATTTGCTACTATCAGCCATGTTAGTTATATAATAATACATACTTGAATTGTGACCACTGATTGGGAAGGTACTGTTTCGCAAGATACAGGATGGCCTAGTTTGAGAGATAGGGTGATAATGTACATATATGTACTTGCTCTTGTGTCAATAAATATTTCATTTGATTTCAAATAAATGTAGGCCATTCAAATATTTCTTCCGGCCCGCAAATCGAACCCGTGACCTCTGCGTGGCAACATTCGGCCACGGAGGCAGTTACCGTGTCAGGAAGAAGTATATGAATATCATAGTAGTTAAAAATGCACAAGATCTGAGTACTAATATGCAACATGATTTAGAAAATGTGACCAAGTGGGCGCATGATAACGGAATAATTATTAACATGGCTAAAACTAAATGTATGCATGTACACTCGCCTCATAATCGTGTTGCTAAATCAGTGGACCATAGGGTATTTAATATGGTAGGTCATTCTTATGAATGTTTACATAATGATAAACGTGGATGTAATTGTCAGAATATAGAAATGGTGAGCAATTTTAGGTACTTAGGATTAGAAATTGATCAGAATTTAAATTGGAAAACCCATATTGATCATGTTTGTACAAAGCTAAGATGCATTATTAGTAAGCTTTATCAATTAGTCAATATTTTAGATAGGCAGACGTTGCTAATGGTGTATTATGCATTGGCTGACTCGCTGATTACCTATGGTTTAAGTATTTATGGTCGTACTTATAAAACTTATATTAAAAACATCAAAAACATTCAATTAAGAATTATTAAAGTCTTGACAGATAAAAACACCAGGAAAAAATTTAAAGACGATTATGAAAAATTATTTAATGTATGTAAAATATTACCGGTAGATAAAAAAAAGTTGAATTTGTGATAGCCCTTGAAAATTATTACAAAAATCACGACAATTTATTAGTGTATAACAGGTACAATACAAGAAGAGTAAGAGAAAGGAAACTAAACAGATGTAAATTTAAAAACAATTATGGAAAGAGAACAGATAAATATATTATACCAACAATTTATAATAAAATAGATTGGCTGAGAGATAGAAGCAAAATTAGTAAAAAAGTATTGAAAAACAGATTAAAAAATTATTTACTAAACAATGTAGTAGTATAATTTAGGTAAATTTTTATATAATTATGCATCATGTTAAGTTGTATTGTGTAGCTTAATTTTAAGTGTAATAGATATACGAATAGGATTAATGAGCGTTGTCTTGCCAACAACCTGATGTCCAGGTTGGCAAGGTCTATAGTATAGGAACAAGCTGTATATCTATGGATAAATAAATAATAATAATAATAATAATAAAGCGTTATTTAATATAAATAAATATTGCAATTAACATAGCGACATCTCTGTCAATATTCTGATAGCTGAATAGGTTACTTACTTAACAGACACATGGGACTTGTCAATTTGTTTCATGGTGACGCGCAACGGCACTGCCCCTTAGATAGACTTGTCGGTTACCACCAGGCACACGACTTGTTCGTCCCGTCACTTGATATCATAAACAAATTTATTCACAGCTCAAACAATACGAGAAAGTCGACTCGGTAATCTCCACCGAACTAAGCCAACTTTACAATAAAGATAAAGACCTAACCACACTCAAGCGTCGAGTGCGGTTCCTGCGCTTACAAGCCAAAAGTCGAGAGTTAAAAAAACCTTCTGCAGGAAACACGCATCTAATCCTTACCGAAGCTAAAGACATCCAGGTTGCGATTGTCAAACGCATTGAGATAGATTCAAGAGGCGATTTGCAAGAAGAGAAGCGTCAATTATCGGGTATACTTTGTGCTCTGGCCAAAGTTAAATGTAACAAGGAACCAGCAGTCGCTGCTAATTTGTATTCGGAGGCATTGATTCATTCGCCTAGAGATCCGGACACATTGCTCGCGTTGGCTAAGCTGTATGCACAGGTATTGTATTTGTCGTATTTTGTCATTACGTACTTTCCAAGAAATGCTTTAATTGCTTATTGCCCAGGCAAATCTTGGAGATACGCATTCTAATGTAGTTGTGTGTGGATAGTGCTCTGTGTATAATGGTTCATGTGTGTGGTAAGTATTTAATAATCGGGTTGAAATCTTAGAACTAGAATGGTAATGTGTGTTAGTTCTTCTTTTTATGAACATGGCAGGCCATCGAGTATATAGCCAGAAATAGATTCGAAATAAGGGCTGTACATTCCTGGTAACTCATCAGTGATACATCACTTATAAATACCAAATCTCGTTTGTACTGAAATATAGACAGCGCCAACAACTGACCAGTGTGCACGTCTCCGTTTATCCAAAATATACTGTATTTATTTTAATAAAGATAATATCTCTAACAATGGCGTGCTGTTTCGTTCGGTGGTGTGGGGAAAACAGCAAAACATCTAATTACAAAACAAACTGAATCAAATTTCATCGGTAATTAAATGTTAAATTTGTAATTTTGCAATTTTCGTACATTATAGGAAAGCTCAAGTTACTGGTCGATTTGATGTGAAACAATCGACGACACCCATCATTTGTTTCGAATTCGGGCTGTCCAATCGGAGCGCAGTTGTCACAGTAATGATATGGCAGAATAGTTTTCAAACAAATTAAATGATTTCGTCTCTATTTCTGGTTAAATACTCGGTTTGGCAGACTGCAGTAGAATATCAGCGGCGCTGTGAAACACTCCGCCATTGTGCTGAGCTACAAACTTTTTTATCTCACACCACTATTTTTGTTACTAAACACTGTGTATAGCTTATATTTATATTTACTTAATAATGTGTTGAGATAAATAAACGATTTTATTATTATTATTATTATTTTGACTACTTAATAGGGACCTTTTATGTGCTTCATGTCTGAAATGTAACAAATTTTCAAATAGCTTCTGTTTCTGGTTGAATATTATTTGTGTTGTATTTGATTGACCAGCAAGTGTGTAGAAGAGAGTCGCTGTACCCGTGAAATTTTGCTTTTGTGACTGTCACAGTGGTATTTATGTAGCTGCCTATTGACATATGACATAGCTACATAGTTGTAGTATGTTGAATGATCATGATTTGAAGTTCGAATATCATAAACTGCTTATAAAAGTAAGTTGCAATATTTATTTTTATTTAATATTTGTTTATTTATATATCATTTGCATTAATAACTCCTAGTAACAAATTAATTGAGCTAAAATTATAATTAATAATATAATTTGTTATGCAACATTTTTATGCTAAATCATGGCCGCCATAAAGAAATGATACATAGTTGTATTTTCATAATGTCGTAAATTTGTTTATCAATTCAACTACAAAATTCAAAGAAAAAAAAATTGTTATCAATTTTTGTATATACTCTTGCTTTGGCTAGGTGTGTTACTTACCGCCTGTTGGCGCCCGCACGTCTTGTTCGTTCCATCACTTGGTATTATTTAAAAAAAATATTCCCTTTTTGTCTTGAAATGACTACTTCCTAGTAGTTTCTCTTAAACCCGAATAATTTTCCTTTTCATTGTCTTGACCACAAAAGCAAAATTTTTGCAGGGAATTAAATTTTTTTTAATGTTTTTATTATAGAACCAATTAGGAAACCATATTAATAAACCAGAAATAAAAATCGTGTTACATTATACGAGTAGATATTTGAAGAATATCTTTATAGGTTTGATTTATCTCTCACTACAGTACTGCATGCTTCTAGATCTAAATTAAAGACAGCAGTTAAATTCGAATATATACACATTGAATTTTGTAGTACAGATGTAAAGGTATGAAATACACATAATGGCACATCTAGTGGGACACTAGTAAAATCTCCGAAAATAACGCAGTATATTTTCTAAAAACTTGTCGGTTATTGTACTTTTTGAAAATGTGAACTCATTTGTTTTACACTATGATTAATTTGGGTTTCCTTCAAATACAAATTTGTCGAGTGTTTCGAGGTTGATTTTGCGTTCTTGTAAACTTCGTAAACTTTAGTTAAAGAAGTATTTTTTATTTATTAAAATTTTAATCAATGTTACAATTGTTTAATTGTGATATTTTCTACTTTGTCACAAAATAAAAAAAAATCCTTTGACTAAATTCTATTTTTTTCTTTAAAGGTTGAGTAAGCTGCTACGCCGATGTTAAAATATTTTATGTTAATTACAACTTTATGACTATTTCTTGTTTATTTAAATATAATCGTTGTATAATCGTCGTGTCTCGATTTCAGATAAACAACTCCGAGAAGTGCGAACAAACTTGTGCTGTGTTGTTGAATACCGATCCGAACAATGAATCTGCTGCTGTCATGATGGCGGATCTTGCTTTTCGAAAGGTATAGTACAATTTAAATTTTTATTGAATTGATATTCAATTGTTTTTTGAAATTACTCCACTAGTTTGTTATAATTATTAATAGTACAATTTCTTTGTTTTCTTTACCTGATTGAATTATATAATCTTTTGTTGTTACTTCAAAATCAGATTATCTGTAACGGGTACCAAAACACTTTTACCACACCCAAGTAGTGACCTCGTGGCTACCGTCCGTCAGTGATAAACCTCGAACGCAAGCCAAGGACACTCCATAACGTCGTCTTATGGCGCGTTTACATTAGTTCAACACGTTACTTTCGCTTGCTCGCCGAAGATAGCACACCTACTCAGTGTAAATAAACACTTCAGTCGTTTAACGACCGAAATCCGCTTGCCGAAGTCGATATAGTCGACTAGGTATAATCACTGTTCAGGCGACTCGCAAGCGATTGTCGACCACACGAGTTTCAACGTGTCGACGGTTGTGTTCAACCACGAAGCTGATACTACGGGCTGGACAATACCTTCCTACCCGATCGGTTTGTTGAACGGTTCGAATGATTTGTTGTCTCTGTGCGTAAATTTGTGATTTGATGATTTTGACGAAGGCGGCTGTCGAATCGGTGTAAACAGCGCATCGCGTCGACAGCACCGCCTTCGTCAGCCGAATTAGCTTGCCGAAAAGGCGGCTGTCGACTTGTTGTAAACAACGAATCCATTGCATTTCCATATTTATATATTTATTATAAACATAACAGAATTTACATGGGCATAATATAATTGTACAGTGTCCCAAAAACTAATTTAGGTTTTACCGTACGCTGCCACTCGTCATCTAGTACAAGTACACATTGAGTTTAACATTAAGTTGTAGTTACAGAGTAATCGAAAGTATCAGCGGGTAATAATGTTCTGTGGTATCAGCTCAGAATACACTGTTAATTTAGTTGTAGGTTAGAATACAATTATAGCATTCAATTCTACCTACCCTGACCGATCAATACGTCAAGAGGTAGCGAAATGCCTAAAATGTCGAAATATGCAAAATTGTGCAGACACGCGGCAAGACGGCAGTCGACCTTGTATAAACACGCCATTACTATTATAACCTTTTATGTGTACTTTAAAAAAAAAAATACAGGAAAGGGAATAAACCTCTAAAAGAAAACGACTTGTTACATAAAACGTGAGGTTTAGAAATTTATCAATAGATGTATCTGTAATCACGTAGACTGTTGAGATTTTACACAGGTAATGGGTTGAATTTTTCAGTGGATTTTGTAAGATAGTGGACATAAGAGGTTTTTAATAAAACACTTTCACGAACTTATTCACTTAGATGAACTTTTATGTATCCAGGTGGATCTAGAAAGCGCTCAACGTCACCTCAACCAGATACTATCGATAAAACCGACGAGTTGGGAAGCATTGTCTCAACTCATTGAGGTGCAGTGGCGGCGCGGGAAACTTAGCGAGGCGGAGTCAGCGTTGGATGCCGCCAAACAGGCTCTGGGAAAGGAGGAAGATCCTGGTGAGTGTCTATTTATTTTAGTTATGTTATGTTCCCCTATATGATTTTATAGTTCTCGAGTTTAAGCGCATTCACTCTGAAATATAATATCTGTGTTGTTCCACGGAGGTGTTTAGTTTCCATAACAAACTTATTATTGTCATGAAACTACATAATCTCAGTACAGAGTACTAAAAAAACCGACATTAAAAGTACGTGGAATTACGTCTATTTGCTAAGTTTTATTGAAATATCCTTAAATTCGCCACTATACAGGACTTGACACTGGAGATAATAGAAATCGGTTCTCACTACTCAAACTATATTGAGAGAAAAACGCCTTGAATTGGAGAAATAGCAAAATCAACCATTAAAATAATTGCTCCTTAGTAAAATTTAGGCGCTATTTATAAAAAAGAATCTTCATGCGTGAACAGCCACCCTTAGAGGTGGACGATTTTTTCAAAATGAAATGAAATGGGACCACTATGGAAGTACTCCCTTTCCAACAAAAAAAGAATCATGAAAATCGGTTCACAAATACCGGAGTTATCGCGTAACATACATACAAAAATAATACAGTCGACTTGAGAACCTTCTCCTTTTTTGAAGTCGGTTAAAAATACAAATGAATTGGTAGTTCCATGACCAAAAACTTTGTTATAGAACATCATTTTGTAAAAACTTTGTTATGGGAACTAAGCAAATTTCTTTGCTCTCAGCCAAGTTTTCAGTGCTCAATAACAAATTAGCATAGTACGAAAAATAACAGTGTTTGGGTTTTGACAAAATAAATTAAGAAAAAATTATATTGAAATTGAAATTTACATATTATGGTTCTTCATATAAAATAGATTTTTGTCATATTTGACATACGACAAATTCCATTATACCTAATGTGACACTAGTACGTTATTTTATTTAATGCTATTTTGTCAGTTTCGAAAAAAATACTTCTCGAATTCGTCATTTTATTATGTGGGGTGCAATTTCTTCCAGGATTTGTCAAATAAAATCAATTGAAATCAATATCCTATATTTCTCGAAATTATCCTTACAGCTTATAATGCTGAAAGGCTTTATTTATAGATCATATAATCGAAAGATAAAGAAATATAATATAATGACTCTTTATTATAACGTTTTTTTAGTCGTAGCGCCATCTATGAGAAATCTATTACAGATTTATCA